TTTTTTKTTTAATTAAWAGGACCGAATTTGAAAGCTCTATCYAGATTACAGAGAWTTCGTCCCCTTTRATGCGAGGAAGGAGAATATAAAGAGGTTTYCGTGGGTCTATGTAACTTTATAATGTAAGTTTAATTGAAACAWTCCATTTTGCACATCGTGTTTAAAGTTGCGGTGTTTTTAACGGTTTATAGTGTAATTCGGTCACGATTTGGTGGTATAAAATACAAGCTTTTTAGCTGTGAAGACCCACTTTTGTATGCCCACAGGACGCTAGGAAGTCAAACACCGGTCCATTTGATTGGTTGATGCTCTTTGGGAGTATTTTGAAGAGCCATTGCCTCGAGATATGAGACATAAGTTTACATATAAGCCATTTGTTCCCAGCTGTTTTCTGTATTGGAAAATGCCTTGTCTGAGTAGAATATATCGCTTTACCGATCTATTAGTGTCAAATGTTTGAGATGATAAGAATTTTATTATTTATGCAAACTTCCTTCCCGTTCCCTCCCATTTCCCATTTTTTTCCCTTTCTTTACGATTCATTCTTTCTGTTTTCGCTCCCTATGTCAAAATCTTTGTAAACTGATTAATATTGAATGTCGAAGAGGTATTGTAATTACGGCCATTAGAATGCAATCATCGCTTTTTTTATGWTAACGATAACTTTCGAAAATCTCAAAATGTTCTAAACGTTTTTACAGTTTAACAGAAATTGTGACAGCCTTTCTACTTGTTTTACTCATTTTTTTTTTACTCGAGTCGGCTCTTTGATTGATTGATTTTATATCTAATCGAGCCAGTATTTCAATCTTTTTGACTTTTATGATGTAGAAAATTACTTGAACTCTATGTTATTGATTTACTTAATTGTTCTTCGCATAATGTGCTCTAGTTTTCATGGTAGATTACTAAACATATGTATACACATTATGTGAAATCTTTCTGTTGCAAAAAAGAAAGAAAGAAATTAATAAAAATATAAAATATGATATATATAAAATAAAATCAGATACTGATGAAAGGAAAACTCTCAATATACCAATCTATAGATGCCTTTTTTAAAAGTTATTGTGTTCCTCGTTTTTTATTTCTACATCAAGAGGTTTTTAGTAAGTGTATTTAATGCAAATTTTCTCGCGCTTTGAATTAACTGGTCAAACAGCTTCCTGTTCGTTGGTAGTCGCTCTGTGCTTTCAATGGAAGACATTCAGTAAAAATATATCATTGCACATTGCTTAAATATAATCATTCACCAGATCAGAACTGATACAATTGTTGAAACAGTCGAAGAAAACTACGAATGTTGTTTGTTCTATTCCTATTTGCTATACACAGCTTTTTTAAAATGCTTGGGATTTTTGGCATTTGCTGAATCTATCTACATATTAAAATACTTCCAAGACAAACTTTTGGGACGGCTGTCTGTCTTAAGTCAATAGATTTTCGATCGAGTATGCTACATTAATCTGTCCCGCCAACTGTTTCAGATGATAWAGGATTTATTTCGCATTTATACCGCCGATTGATTTATGGGAAAATACTTTTTAACAATTTCTGTGAAAGGGAATGTATTTATCTATTTATCTAATGTATTTTTTTATTTTTATTTATTATTACCGTCATGTATTCCTTTTTCGTGCTAGATTCTTTAAAATTATTCGAGTACCTGCAGAAATTTGCTAATCATCGCTGGGGAGTATTTCCCGTGGCTCAATAGTTGTTTACTAGTCTTATTGTTATTATTTTAGGCGAAATGTTAAAAAAAAATAAACTGGTGAGTAGAACCAATAAAGCAAAATCTTTTTCAAACATTTTTTTACGTCATATAAAAACGGACAATTTTCAATATTTGAATATCATTTAACAATAATTTCTGCAACGTTACTGACTTTAACTAGTAGTCAATGTTCTTTCAAAAATTATTATTTAGAATTTCCCTGCTCAAGAAAGCGTGTTTCTCTTTATTCTCCCAAGTTTTAAAGTRCACTTGAAGATCTTTTGCTTTCAAATAAAGAATAGAAAGGAAAAGAAAGGTAAATTGGGAAGGATTATAAGGATTGATTAGAAAATCCCCAGCTAATTCAGCTCTCGTCAAAGCCGTGACAGTCAAGTCAAAGTTTCGTCACTGCATTTGCCATTAAACATTAATAGTTCGCTCTAGATACATATATATTTTTAATTTTCTATATTAGTTAGAATAACACCGCTTGAGATAAGTAGAAAGAGAATTTAACGCCGACTTTTCATTGGTAAAATATAATCCAGATGTAATCGGAATATATTTCATGGCGTTTTCACATTTCGTTAACGTGATTAGAACATGACTTTCACACACACTTTATAAGCAACGCACAAACTTTAACTAAAAGCCAGCACTTTTTGAAATCATAAAATATTCACTAATTCCACTTAGTATTTGAAAATATCTAATAGCATTACGTGTATACATACCGTATTTCTAGTGATCTTTCTTTACTGCAATATCAGGTGCCACATCGATTTGAAGGCTGAAGTGCTCCGAGAGTTTTTCTCCCTTTTTTCTATTGCCCCTAGAGAACATGAAATAATTAGTTCAAATTCAACTAAATTTGGATCATACTTAAACGGCGGATACTGATTTCCTTGCCCTGTGGATACAAAAGAAAATATTTTTTTTTTCATTACTAACCGCCAGTTCTTCAAAAAGCAAGTGTATGTAGCGTGTTGAGCGGTATTATATAACTAAATTCTAGTCACAAATTCACATTATACGAAACCGATTAAAATGCAATTTGAACGTGTAACTCAGGATCCTTATATGGACATTTATGTCATATAAGGAAACCGTTAGTTTGATTCGTCGATTGTGATTGGTCAGTTAATGTATCGATCTGATTGGCTGGGTTTGATATTTTCAGATTTACAGAACGAGGCGATGGGAGATTAGCCTTGTCACTTGGTTAATGCACAATTTTGTTGCATGACCATGAGATTACTGACAATGTACTGCGCCAACGCATATATCCGTCAGCTACAAAATCGAATCGTTGAGATTTAATCTAGTGAAAACTACGTTTCACAACTCAAAATAAATAATCACAAGTTAAGATTGTCATCTACGGTATTGTTGTCACTATAGTTCTAAGGTTTTCAGTGTAAAAATGCTCTTTATGAGTCAACAAAATGTTTTTTATTCTTCGTGCATCTTAGATTGATTTTACGATATTTATACTGTTTTTGTTTGTGTGTGTATAAAGAAACGTATGTTCTTCATGTTATTATCTTCGCGGACGAAGATGCAAATGATTTTCTCTTCGATTGTATGCAGCCCCGATAAAATTCCAGACCCGTTCTAGCGTGCATGACCAAGAAAGTCGATACGAGATCTGATTGGCTGCATMGTGTGTGATCAAGGTGACACGTCATTTTCCCCGTTTCTCTTTAGCGAGCACCTTGACTACCACCTTTGCTACTGCGCAATCCCAGCCCACACGGAGAGCAAGGATTTACTCAAGCACTGTTCTCAGTGCCTCACGAGGTAAACACGTATTGTGTGCCGACGCAAAATCATGTCTAGCACACAATAAATGTTTGCCTCGCGAAGCCGTAAGTGAATTCTTCCTAACCGTGTACGGCGGGTTTTAAGTAACTTGCGTCTTCGCTATCTATTTCACATCGTGTAATTTCTACACATTAACACTTGATTGCAATGATTTAGTAGTTTAATTTCCCACAATTCGCTAGAATAGAAGTTATAAAATTCTAATTTTCAATTTATAATTCTCATTTGAGACTTCATGTGAAATGAAGTTTGAATGGAAGGAAGTAACCATACATCAATACTAATTCCCTTTGAATTTTCGTATGATTTTTCAGGGCTGATAAAGTACCAGTCAATATATCCTTAAAAAAAGATTGACATTACAAGACCGCAACTGCTGAAAAGCATGGATTAAATATGAAAAATATGAAAGCTTTTATGAGTTCTGAGAGTTGTTACTCAAGAGATAATCTGGACCGGACATGATGAGAGTACCGCGAGGGAGGTGYYWARGTAAAAATAGTGAAAGTTGTGTACATGAAATCGAAGAATGGACAATATTACGATAAATGGTGTTAAAAAATCCACGAGTAAAGAATCGAGTGAGTTCATTAAAGCCGTGAAACACAATTAAGGCCGATTTAGACGGCACAACTTTTGTCTACAACCATCGCATGCAACCTGCTTAAGTMATCCTTACAACATGGCTACAACTGTCGTAGGGCTATTAAGCAATTGTTTAAAATCCCTACGACGACTGTTGTAGCCATGTCGTAAGGATGACTTACGCAGGTTGCATGCTATGGTTGTAAGCAAAAGTTGTGTCGTCTAAATCGGCCTTAAAAGTGTGACTAGTCTGATTATCTATTATAGACACAAAAGAAAACGATGCACAAGAGCTGCTAAGGTTTATTGGTGTAATATCTATTTCACGGTATTTTTTTACTTCACTCTAGTGGACTAATACATCTTAGTAGTAATCCGACTGAGTTTTTTCTATGTTTTTCCGCCATTAGACCATTTTAAGTTTGGATAACAGGCGTCGCTGTAAGAAGAGGAAGATGGTCAAGTATCTCCTAACGTTTTATGAGTTTATCCCTCTTTAGTTGTGGATTATCATTCACACTATAAAAAAAGCATCATTTTAGTGATCTCAAGTTCTTTTTGTTATCAAGTAGAGTGCAAACACTAGAGTGAAGTCTAAAAACCCGTGAAATATCACACTGATACATCTTCGTACTCTCTAATTRCATTGTTTTCTTTTGTGTCTATTTGACTATCACACATTAATACTCCAAGTTCGTTTTACGGGTTTAATTAAGTCACTCTAAAACAATGAAAAACTTAAGCGATTGAAAAGTGCTAAATTGTACCGAATTATTCGAATTCTTCAGATCAGTTTTTTCAATTGTCTAGAGTGAAGTCATTAAAGTGGGATAATCAATTAGACACAGGAGGAAACAGTGGAATTAGAACAATAAGATGTATTAGTGTAATATCTATATTTTTTTCACTTCAATCTAATCTACACTATATTGCTCTATTTATCACTGTTTGGCGAGTTGGCCTTTTCACGGTTTAAAAGTTTCCACKCTGTCTGTGACTCACCTTTTAAAAACCGTTTAACGTATACGAAGATTTGTTTCTAGTCATAGCAATATTCGCTTCAGGAACATGGAAAATGCATACCCTCATCTATGCTAGATTTCTTATCTTTTAATTTCCATATGAGTGAAGTTATATCACGCTCTGGCATCACAGTTCGTGGTCGAAAATTTGAAAACAAAATGGACCAATTGTCGTTGGTCAAACATCGCGGATTAAATCTAATCTTGAYTAAAAAAATATTATTGAGTTAATATAGATTAGCACAACTGAACTCAAACAACATACAAATACAATACACTACTAATTAATAGGTGTTGTGGCGCCGAGCAATAAAGAAATACAAAAAAGTAGCAAATTTTCATAAAGTTCTCCTCCCAGAATTGATCGAAGTTGAGTTGCTTGCAGTGATAATAAGGTGARTCTCGAAGATTTTGTATCGCGGAAGTAAAAATAATTGTGCTTACTATAGTGAATAGGTTTCTGGATGAATAATTTACAATAGAGTCAATTTAGGAACAATTTTGCGGTATACATCACAGAAAATATCTAACTGTGAAGTAATGGTGTCCTTCACTCATTTACTGACCGAAAAGAAAAAACGCGTCGTTTTCATGTCATTTTCATCCCCGTGTTGTGATGTTTTGGATACTATGGTGGAGAGTCCAAGCAAAGGGCGCCAGAATCCACGTAAAATAACAATAATAATAATATAGAGAAATTCACCTGAAATGCAAATTACTTTTTTGGGAAGGCGAGCAATTCGGGTTAGCTAACGTGATATTAATGGCGGCATTTTGAGCAAAGCACATCGACTTCATGTAAAAGGTATCTTATAAGATAGAATGTTTTCCCCATAAAACCGTTAAAATAGGAGACCATAAGATAGAAATTAAAAAAATCACGATATTATCAACGCAAAGACCGAAAGGGGTTTTTGGTAACGAGGAATTCGAATTATTTTTACCTAAATATGTTTTGTTATAGTATTACTCGAAGGGATGAGGCAGTGCAGGCAATCTGGGCTCCGAGACACTCTTATACTGACTCATAAGACTTGCTTTCCCATGCTCCCTTTCGGTCGTAGTTTTGATGATGTAATCAGTTTTTTTGACTACGTTTTTTTCAATTAGGCATAAGCATTAAAAAATAAACGATTTAAAGAATGATAAAGAATAATAAGTTAATTCCACCATAATTGACCGCTTCAATTTTCTTTTCCTTTTTGTTTTGTTCGAGGATATGAGCCGAATTCAATGCAAACGGKGCCGCAATCTTTTCGGTTCATTTCAACATTTATATATTGTATTAACTATCAAAAATCTGAYGGGTTAACAAGCTACATGTTATTTCCACAATCAGACAACTTACAGCTTACCGAAAACGTAATTGGGCGTAATTGGCCAATATCTGGAGGCTGCACCCGCAGTGCAAAGTCGCCGAAAAAATAGGCTTGTTGCGGCCTTGCAAAAAAAAGCACTTTGACATGACTTATTTTGCTTGGAGTTTTCTTTTCAAATGCAAACAATGTATGATAAGTCTTTTCAAGTTTTATATCAGCCTTGCGTTACACTTGCTTTGACCTTGATGTTTTTTCACAAAAACGTCATCCAACAATTGTGTTATGTCAAAAATGTTTAACACTGTCATTTGGAGGTCCAATAAAAAGGGATTCATAAAAAGTTTTAATTCCAGCTAGCTACATGAAAAAAATGCTAACAAAATTACGGAGGAAAACAATGTTGTGCAGCTGTTGTTGTGACTCTTATAGCCATAAAAACGTCGAAAGAATTTATTAATGCCAAGTCTTTTGAAGCTCTCTTAACTTATCTTTATCTTTGAAATCTATCTTCTGAGTATTTTTTTATATCACGTTTTTAGCGATATTATGCTATTATGGTCATTAAATTATGAAAGTCGTCACCAGTTCTGTTGTTTGTCCTTGCTAAAGTATGAAATATCGTGAATAGGCAATGTGGAGCGACGCCATTTTGTGAAGCAAAGCATGATGGTAGCTGTAGTCCTCGCACTTTTCATAGCCCCTAAAATATCTCCTTAAAAGCAGGTTTTACATTTTCTTTTTAGAAACGGCACAAATACTTCTATTTTCGCTTAGAAAAATTAAAATCTGGTTAGGAGGAGTGTGTTAGCGGACATAAAAAAATGCGAGGACTACAACTACCATCATCCTTAGCTGCACAAAATGGCGACGCTGCACATTGCCTATTGAACGCACACGAGATCATTCAACTTCATATTTAAAAAACGCAGGCGATCGCAAAGAAATTCTAGAAGTAGTATTTTCATAACCTACACTTTTTTTTCTCGTTCCGGCTACGTCACAAGGCGTATTGTTTGAATTCTCCGTCCAAGTGGTCACGAATTGGGCTATCTCACCGTTGGTTGCTTTAGTAATTAACATTTGAGCCTCATATCAGAATGATCAAGCATATCACGAATCCAAATATTTACCATCAAGCAGAGATTTCTACATTTTGACCTTGGTGTATTATTTTAGGCTAGTGAAGTRGTSTTGTTGTTAGTGCAAGTTATCTTTGTGATCAAGGTTCTTGAGTACCTAGACCTCTATGCGATCGCGCTTCACCGGGACGTCTTCTCTAATTTCAGTAGATCAGAAAGTCAAATCAGACGTCGTATTTATTAAATTCCTGTGTGGTACGCCTCAAGTGAGTTGTTCTTCATGACAAGTCCTACAATATTGTTCTGTCGAAATGTATTCAAAAGGCGTAATTTTACATGATTGTGAATTGAATACGGCTCGTGTTCGGTACGACGTTTAATCCAGTCTTATTAGACCCTGTTTACATGAGATAGGGTGYCCCTAGTGGTAGGGCCAAAATCTTTTTTTTTTTTTCTCGTTTCAAATCCTACAGGTAAAAGAAAACAAAAGAGTTAGCACTACCACGTGGGGCACCCGGTATCCGGTCGTTTCGATCCAAAGTCGTTTCGATCCAAGTTGTTTCGATCCATTTTTAGGACATTTCGATCCATTGTTAGGACGATTCGATCCACTTATATAACAACTCAAATACATAAGTATTACTACAGATATGTCACAAAAAAAGTTTTAAACTGTAGTCTATGACTTAGCATGCAATTTCAACGAGAGAAAGAGTCTTGAAAGCGGCGTTTTTCGATTGATAATGAATTGTTTTGTCATTGWTATACGATTGTTATTGTTTGGTCGTCAAGGACGCTAACACTCTATCTCATGCAAACAGAGTCTTAGTGTATTATGATATTATCTCGTTGACCATCCCTCTTCTAAAGTTTTTATTTTCTTTTTTCTAATTACTGTAACCTTCTTTTGTACCAATTGATCTCACTTGTTTCACGGATTATTAGTGCAAGAGTGCAACCACTAAAACCGTGAAAAACAATAATCAATTAGTGATAAATTCTACTGTATTACTATTAGAGTAAAGCCAAATAAGCCCGTGAAATAGATAGATTGATCACACAACAACTGCAACTTTACAAAATCTATGTAATACTAATTTGTACTAAAAGTGGGCCTGAAGCAAGACGGTATTGAATGCTTCATTTGTATCCATTCAATTTAATTTTCGTACCGCATGCACGATTTACTAAATACAACTAAATAGCACTATTTAGTTTGTACAGTTTGACTGTATCGCACTAATACAACTTAGTACAGTCTAACTACATTGTTTTCTTGTGTCTGTTTAACTATCACATTTTAAAGTCAAATAATATTTCGTTCTAGAGTGATCGCACTGAATCCGTGCAGCTGTGCAAACTAAATAGTGCTTTTTAGTTGCATTTAGTAAATCGTGCATGCGGTACGCAAATTAAATTGAATTGATACAAATGAAGCATTCAATACCGTCTTGCTTCAGTTCCACTGTTAGTACAAATTAGTACTACTTAGATTTTGTACAGTTGCACGCTTTAAGTGCGATCGATCTATGCGAATTCCTGTGTTTTCTGTTGTCTCATCTTCACAATATTTCGCTATAGTGAACGGTATTTTGTTATGATATTCACAATTGTATTCACGCTTTTAGTGTTTACACTCTATCCGTTTAAACGGCCAGCTTGAATTATACAAACTTCTAAGAATATGGACGAATTGGATAGTGGTAAGCGCTACTAAATTATGCCAATTCCTTAAGGTTATTAAACCCGTGAAACAGAATTTGACTGTAAAGTGTGATAGACACAAAAGAAAGAGCGTATAGTGTAATATCTATTTCACAGGTTTTCTGGCTTCACTCTATTATCCAATCAGCACCATTTGACACTATTTGGTTAGTGCAATTTCAGGTAGTTTAGGGATGGTTCACACTAARACATAAGGCTTGGTGGTATCCATTTAATCGCCCCAAAATAGAACAATGGAGACGACTTATTCTAGTCGCTACTATACTTACAAACGACGCACTCTTGACTTATTCTTTTGTGTTATAAGTTCTGCTTGTGTTGATAGTGTGTACCAGCCCTAAGTGTTTGCACTCTAGTATACTATACATCACATTCAAAACTTACTTCCCTTGTAGTAGCAACACATTCACCTTCTCCTGCAGAGAGGTTTATAATTGTCCTAATCAGGGAATCGTAATTAGAGCCCAGAAAAATATTCCCGTGACAGGAAGTCTAGACTGCTAGACACTTGGTTCAACAAGTTAATTTTAATTATAAAACACACAATACGGCTTCCTTGTTTACCTTGCTTATTGAGAATGTTAGAATTGATGTAATTATCTCACCAAATACATCAGTAGAAATTGGAATRTTTCTGACGCCAGCTCTCCCACGAGGGTACTAATTCATGTCATTGTCAGGTTTTGGTGAATTTTTTTTCGTATTTGTATTTCGTATTATATTTTTTAGATGGAGTTCCCAGGAGGAAATTTTAATTCTTTTCACTGCAAGTTGGGGAACCTTGCATTAAGTACAGCAGACAAAACGATTTTTTGCTTATTTCCCGTCAGTTGATCCGGAGTGGAGAGACCCAGTGTAGGAGTGAAGAAAAGCTAGGGTTCGAGTCCAATAGTTGTGTATAAAATAATTTTGTTCGCTTTYCATTTATCAGAACTGGCTGGCCAGACCCAGAGAAAATGTCATTATATATCATTCTCATTTAGTTAGGAAGTTCAAATTTTCAAATTCTATCCATTATTCTACAGAAAACCTCGAAATGACTGAAAAATGTTGACAAAAAGCATTATATACCTCTAAATAGAGTGGACTGGCCGGCCAGTTCTGCCTAAATGGAAAGCACCCTTAGTATATGAATACAGGTTAAAATGTAACTTCCGAGTGCAATATCTACATTGTCTGCTATTATTTTCTGTAAAGATTTCACATCGTGGATCACCTGTGATCTATTTCAGAGAAACTGGAGTTATTATATTGAATAACCGAGTCTTCACGCAGTAATGCGATTATAAGAGAAAATTCACAATAAACTCCGTTCTGTATTCAGGCTTACTGCAAACACAGGTAACCCGTGCTAAGCATGCATAAGGGTATGTATGTAGCATACATCAATATTATAGTTTCATGTCCAAAATCTTGTAATTCGCAAAAGTTTAGCAACGAAGTATATATAATATCGATGTGTGCTACATACGTTCCCTTATACGAATGCTTAGCCTGGGTTACCTGTGTTGCAAAGACCAAACGTGGAAACTAATCACGTGATCACTGTTTTCTGTGTTATCGTTTCGTTTTTTTTTTTTTTGCCAATTTGCTATCGCCCAACTCAAATCGTACGTGTAAACAGCCCTGCGATTGTTGCGACGATGGAAAAATCGCYGCGAAGTTGCAGCCAATTTTCAAGCACGTTCGAAACTCAGGCGATGAATCGCTCTGCAAAAATCGCAAGTGTAAACGGGACTAAAATCTGGCATTCGACGTAAATGTGAATCTAAATTTATCTAATTGACAATAAAAGCTATATCTATTTATAAATAGTATGTGAGCTAGTAATTGTTTTTCTATGTTGTCAAACACACAGTCAATCCCCGTTTGACAGACAACAAGTCATTTAAAGAAAATTGCTCGGAAAGATAAATAGGGTATCTTATTGAAATGACACATTAAATATGAAAAACCTCATCTTTGACTTGAATGCCTGGTTTAAAATGAGCCACTTCACAATACTGTATTAATGCACTGTATTTATTAATACGTATTCAGCGCAAAGCAAAGTATTSACAAGYATATACGCAAAAMTCGTYGATTTGACCGTAAAATGACCATAATTCAACTCAATCATGCAAAATCGAATACAAAGCATTTTAGTAAATAACAGTCCGTTAGACGTTTTTCACGTGTACATCGAATAAATTCGTATATAAATGTAGAATATATAGTGGGCTTGGCCCAGTGTGTATTCGAAGATTAACGGTATAGTCGTTCGTCAGAACATTAGACCAATGATCATCCATCAAATGATGATTACCTTCTTTCACTATGACGTCAAAGCCCATTTATATTAGGACAGACAATTGAAGCTAGGTTTAAGAATATTATAGTTTTTTTGCGGTTATTTTAATTTTAATTTTTTACGTGGTTGTCTTGCCGCCATGCTGCCCCCCTTTGGCGACCATTATCCTAATAGCATTGAAATAATGAAGGAAATTTTTAGTCTGGCAATAATTAGGTTTTTGTAGCCCTGCCGTTTTATTTATTTATTTTTTGCATCGTGAAATTAGGGTTTTTTTCATAAACATTTTTCCAGTAAGCCAAAGAAAAGGCTTTCATCTCTTTAGATGTGATCGCTAAAGTTCGGCAAGTCGAACAATATACTCATTGACAACWGCAAGTGGCTTAAAAAATCAAGATATATGTATGGCTCAGAATCTGTCTTAAGGTAGCATTTTGGATTTTCTTGAAGTATCATTTGCTATGCCTATATTTGATATTCATGCAGCCTAGCAGCTGGGTCCCAGCCCTAGGATCCTGATTTATTTTAGACTACTTGACTGCTCATTTTAGCATATTTTAGACATAYTGAAGATATACACATAGTTCTCTATTAACTATGTATACACATACTATCATCTATTATGTCCAATGCGAGTCCCGAACAGATTTGCTTKTCTTATCATCCGTAATCCCTCAGAAACCCGTTCTCGCGCGTTACCACATTCCGACCATTACAGAATTTYAATTACACGAATAAAACACTTGCTTTCCTGCCCAAAAATCCCACCAAAATCTGTCTTTGTGCGCTMCAACGTCTGAATTTGAAGAGTGGTTACATACCTTTTTGCTCGTTCGCCTTTATGAGTATATTATTCTTTTATTTCCAATGTTGATCAATTATCAGTGAAGATACTAACGTTGGCAGTTTCAGTTTCATCTCGTACAACTATGTGCTAAATACTGATGCTTAAACACGTTTGCGTCATCCCTCAGCTTGAACTATAAATTATTAAATACCGATTACAGGAGAGTTCTCATTGGACTATAGGTGTCACGTGGKAGGGTTGTCGAAACAAAGCCGTCAAATTACAAAGGTTTCAAGTAAATAAGAATTGACAACATAAATATCATAAAAGCGCAAATTACATGTAGCTTGTTATAGAAGTCATCAAAATTCCGTTAGTTTTCATTACTGCATGATGTTTGTTATTGACGAACACATGGTTTCCTGTTACTTCAGTTAATTAAGTCATATTGTGAGCGTGGTCAAATAGCAATTACAGCGTTATGARAAACCCTAGACCAAACCGATCAGAAAATAWCTGTCAACAGTTTGGTTTTCGTTATGGTTTTGGCTTTTATGTTAAAAATGAAAGAAGGTGATTGAAATTGAATCTGATGGGAACCATATTTATTTCGTCTCCAGTTCCTTATTTTAGTATTCTAGACTCGGCCACTATCGAAAAGCATTGTGGGGTATGGCGAGACACGGACGGAATTCTTACGATCTCTTGCAAGTAAATGTATTTATACCAAATACCACTACAAAACACGCTATTCAACCAATACCAAGCGTCATTCTGAGTTTGCCAAGACTGAAAACTAGTGGGAGCGCAGGGTATCATGGGTATTCAACCTCTGAATAATATTTTTTTTTCGAGAGTCCAAATATAACGAAATACGACACAAGGTAAAAAAATGATAAAACAWTTTAACTTTGAGTCGATTTATTAACGAGCAATTAGCCGTGATCCCCTGCGCCACTTTTTGAAGGCTCAGTAGTCACACACAAAGGAATCAAGACGAGGCGCCGTGCTTAAAGCTCAGTCATCCGTAAAAAGACAATAGTTTTTCACGATTGACTGAGCTTTACGCACGGCGCCTCGTCTTGATTCTTTTGTGTTTGACAACTGAAGCGAAATTCGCAAGTCGGCTATTAGTACCACTTATTTCACTAATCTCCAAAGAGATTRAATATCTGAATAATAATAAAATGCGCAAGGCTTTCTGGTTCTAAAKGTACGCCATCATGCAAATGTCCTATACTAGGGCTAAACCCCGGTTAGACTCGTCCACAGGAATCCCGTAAGTTGCTTCATAAGGCATGTCAACATGAAGATTGGGAAAATGGTTAAAAATGGATCTGCTTTTRAATCATTGCTRCAAGGTGATAATAACGAGTTTACAGCGAGTTGTCGTGTACTTGAGAACATTGTTCACATCGCAATAAAACTAGAAAAATAACCAGGAAAAACTATATTCATTTCGTGATAACTTGATTCTAATACATTTCCTCGCTATCTTTTTACAACATGGACAAGGTAAAAATTAAAATTGCAACATTCCCACAAAACCACTAGTTGGTTGGTACGGTCTTCRTACTACTAAAATCGTGAAAGTGTCGACTTGTAGACAGACGGCGAAGCGTCGTTCCAAAATGAAAGTGAACGAATCCTCGAGAAATACTGAGAACTTAAAAGTAAACTCATTTCCTGTTYGAAGTTATTGATAACCTGGCTACCGATACTCTCAGCTATTTCACACTCCCCATCCCCTGGGGGTGCGAAAATCGGGTAATTCTGAGGGTTTCTTGTGTGTTTTCAATTAATGCGAATGTACGCAATCTTTTACTCATCAATATCTCTTGAAAGATGAACGGTTTGATTTTGAAGTCACGTTTGKTTTTTCCAACTACAACTTACAATGCCTCAATTCGCTATTGAAATAATCTCAATCTGTTCTCAAGAAATGATTCAGTTTACAAACTGATCATGCTCTTGTTTTTTTGATCCGTACTTTGTTTAAGAAATCTCCAAACATATTAAATTCAAGCTTGTGGTCTTTTTGGTAAATATATCATTGGGCAGGTGTTAGCCCTTGGTTAAGTACGATTTGAAATCTCTTTTATAATTGACTATTAGTCTTAAAAGGTATATTGATAATCGACAATTTTTTTCCGGTTTTCTTCGCGAAGGACAAAGTGTAATTGATGAGTGTGCATCATTTTGAATACTGTTTCTCAGCTCCATTTTGAATTCATTTTTAGTCCATTGAGAACTCCACCTCGTAAGTCATGCATTTCCGCCCATGATAGGTCATAATGACGAGTACAGCAAAGATAAACAATTCAGAATAACAAATAACACAGTTGGATCTCTGTGCTAATCAATGGCTTTGGTTTCCAAAACATGTTCGGCAAAAACTCCTTGAAGGAAGAAATACAATGGGAAAAAGGATCGAGTCTGATAAGCGATTTGAAYGAATTTACTAGAAACTCTTGTCTTTTTTGATGAAATGGCTTTTATTCCCGCCCTTACCTTGTCTAGGGCGCTGGTGGCAGATAGTCTATCATTAAAAGACAAGAGTTTAAACACTTTGCGAAATAATTGGGACTGAAATAACCTATAGCCATTAAGAATCTGATTTCCGATATTCGATATAATCTGACAATCTTCGTGCTTGGCGCAGTTCGAGGCTATGAACAGTACAATTAACACTACGGCTCCAGGGCCAACGACATTTACCGAACCACAAGCCTCTATAGGTTTTCGTCTTACTTTATTTGGTGTTGTGATTTTTTCATCACTTGTTGGCAATTTCATGGTGGTGAAAGCCTATCGTCAGCAACCACATCTGAAAAAACCGTTCACATATTTACTTGTGACGAACTTGGCGATTGCCGAGTTTATTGGAACACTRTGTTTGCCGTTTTTTCAAGTCTACGATGAGCTCAAGTCATGGCCGTTTGGTGATTCCATGTGCCGTCTTATAAATGCCTGCATGTTGATATCATACTTCGTTATTCCCTGGTCATTGGCAGCCATTGCGTTCGTTCGCTGCAAGGCTTTTTCCAGTGGTCAACTGTTTCATCTGTCAGGAAGAATCACAACCTCCGTTCTGGCCTTGATGTGGATTTCTGGTTTGCTTGTTAGCGGGCCAACTTAYATATTTGCCAAGCAAATCAAAGCCGTTTACGGTAATCATAACTATTGGTGCATTGAACTCTTTCCTGGAGATACGCTTACAACATTCCCATCAGCTGAACTTACCAGATATTACTTTGTCCGATTCATCCTTAACTTTGCTCTGCCAGGATTGATAATCATTATGGGATATGGAGGAGTTGCAYTGAAGCTGAAAAGACACCTCACCAACAAGAAGTGCATCTGTTCGCCCAGCAACACACAGGTCACAAGTGTGATTGAACTCGATCCAGAACTKCCAGCCAAAGAAAAACCCTCCTCAGAAGACATTGCAGTGATCAGTTCACCATCGTGTACTCTTGCACTTCCGAGGGAAAATCCCAACGCAAAACTCAACCAAGTGAAAAATATGGAACACGACCTTTTGAGAATGATTTACATCATCGTGGTAGTGTACTTGGTGTGTTATATACCTTACCAAACAGTCTTCCTGATGGAATATTTCTGGCACGAACCATGGATGAAGAGCGAATATTACGCCATTATCAGGAAGTATGTCTACTTGATCACGTGTTTACCGAGCGCYCTCCACCCGATATGCTATGGAACCATGAGTAAGTTTTACGCRCAGGCCTTTTCCACAGTAATGCTTTGCAAGAAGAAACCAACGAAACTTAGTAACATCATTTTTGAAAATAGACAATAGTATWTTAGACCGTCAATTTTCCWTAAAACGCCGGATATATCCATGCTCTCAATTGATTCTAAGATTTAAAGCATCGTAGGCCTATTTCTCGATCTTATAAGCCTTTTAATGTTCGTATAAATGCCCACAGTRGAGAGAGAAAGTCGGATCGGGGTTCTTTGAGAGTGMGAAATCCTCTCCAGTGTAAAAGGTTTCCTGTAACCGAAAGCGAAAACAATTATATCTCAAGAGAACTCGTGTAGAGTTATATGATAAAGTCAGAGATAACAAGAACTGACTCTTGTAGAGTTTCAAACTGATTATTGATAGACGTTTCTTGAAACTCATTTTTGCKGTAGGACTTTGTAGAGATGTTGCTACGTACTACTAACGTCTTGATACATAATATTCTCATAATCATGATCGGCCGGTATTCTTTAAGAACTTTTGTTCAATTTTAAAAATAAATATGTATACATCGTAATATAAGAAAAAAACATAAAAAATAAATAAATATCCCTTTATGCTTTATGAAGAAAGATGTTTTAAGATTTGTTCATAAAACCGACGGATAACCAGAAAGGGATTGCGAATAGATATATTTAAAGCCGCCTCTTCTATACACATGAAATATCTAAACTACGACTGCACTGAATGCCGGTTAATCATGGTTCTTTAATCTTGTAAGATAAGTCCTATTACATGCTAAGAGGTACTAGAATTTGCTACAATGCAAATGTTGACTATTACATGAAAACAATGATAGAGTAGTATCTAGAATAATAACAATTTGCTATATATGTATCCTGTTATATAATGAAATAAAACTTATAACGTTTCGAGTGTCA